GGCCTGGTGGCTTGAACTCACGCCGGGCATGTGTGTGTGCATGCCCAAGATCCCGAGAGGAGAATGGAGGAGAAGGGATTGCAGCGTGGGATCCCCCCTGGAGGGTGATTTCTCGCTTTCTGTCCCTCTGTCTCTGTCTGGCGAGCGCACGCACCCTATTAGCAAAAACCTCTCCAAAAAAAAAATAATAATAATAATAACAAATGGAAATTTCTTTTTTTAAAAAAAAGAATGATGACAAATAAAGTTAAGTAAATATTTTTTTAAAACATAGGAAGGAACACCCAGTGCGGCAGGACCTCGATGTGTGTGTCCTCATGGAGGGGGGGGTCCTTTTCCTCACCCCACCGATGGCCCCCAGGTTGGGTGTAGCCAGCGGGCTCGCCGTCGCGGACCTGGATACTCCACGCAGGTGCTGGTAGACTTAGTGTGTGAGGGGTGAGTGGCAGGCCAACCTGCCTAGGCCAAGCTCATCTCTCCTTGGCTGCGTCTCCCCAGGACTTCCCAGGAGATTCTGCCCTTGGAAGTCAGTCCACCCTGGACCCTGCCTGCGCCTGGCCTAGCTGGAGCAGGGGCTGGTGGGGTGGTGCGAGTCGGTGCCTGTCAGCAGTGGCCCTGGGAGTTGTCACTCAGCTCTGGCGCCCTCTGCGGGCCTGCTTTTCTGGTTGTGAAGACCCCACGTGGGGCCCGTCAGTGGCCCAGTTAAAAGTGCACTCTGGGAGGCCGATCCATACGGGCAAGCTCTGGGTCCACCCATAGAGCGCTCCCTAAAGATGCCACACGTGTGGGGTCCAGTGATCCCGGGCTGGCTGAAGCTGGGTGTGAATCGTGGTGTCAAGATTCTGTGTGTGTGTGTGTTGGGGGGGGGGTGGCTGGCAGATGGCAAGGTGATTGAGGATACTGGACTCTCACGTGGCCGACTGTGGTTCAAATCCTGGACCGGGTGGCTTGGTTTCTCTCTCTCTTGCTCGCTCTGTCCCTCTCTGGTCAAATTAAAATGAATAAAGTTAAACTATTTAAAGACCCTCTGGGTGCTCGTTCCCTCTCACCTACATAGAAAGAAAGAACGAATGAACTTTTTATTGGCAAGGGCTTGTTTTTTTCTTTTTTTTCGTTTTTTATTTTTATTTTTTTGCTATAGGGTGCATGTGCTCACGGGGCTGGGCGGGGTGGGGGGCTGAGAAATCACCCGCAGGGAGATGGCCATATTGCAGTCCCTCCACCTCCATTCTCCTAGGATGTTGGGCATGCGTGCACACGTACCCAGTGTGGTTTTCAAGCCACCAGGGACTCAACTGCGGTCGACCACATGGTCAAATAGGAATCCAGTGACGTAATTTACTATGCCACCTGCTGGTTCAATAAACATTTAAAAAAAAGAATTACTTAATTTAATTTAATTCATTTATTTTCTTTTGACCAGACACACACACACACACCCAAGTGAGAGAAAGAAAGTGAGAAAGCAAGCCGCCAGGTCTGAGACTCGAAGTGTGGTCAGCCATGTGAGTGTGTCCAGCGCCTTAACCACCATACCACCTGCTGGTCCCCTCAATAAGCATTTTAAAAACACACTTAAAAAAAAAAAGAATTATTTTTAATTTAACTTTATTTAGTCATTTTAATCTGACCAGAGAAAGAGAGAGGGGGAAAGCAAGAAAGCAAGCCACCAGGCCCGGGATTCAAACCTTGGTCAGCCATATGGGAGTCCAGCACCCTTAACCGTCATACCACCTGTCAGCCCCTCCTCAGTAAACATTCTTTTAAAGAATTATTTAATTTCGGCACTAGCAGTTGGTGTAATGCTATTTCGCTGGACTCCCATGTAGTTAACTATGGTTCAAGTCCTGGACCCGGGGACTTAAACTCACGCCGGGCATGTGTGTATGTGTGCCCAAGATCCCGAGAGGAGAATGGAGGAGAAGGGATTGTGGTGTGGCCATCCCCCTGGGGGGGGGCAGTTCTTGCCTTCTGTCTCTCTGTCTCTCTCTGTCCTTCTGGTGAGCACATGTGCCCTGTGGCAAAAACCTCTCAAAAATTATTTAATTTTATTTATTCATTCATTTTATTTTAATTTGACCAGAGAGAGAAAGTGAGAGAGCAAGCCACCAGGTCCAAGATGCGGGACTTGAACCATGGTCAGCCATGTGGGAGTGTCCAGCACCTTAACCACCATGCCACCTGCTAGTCTCCTCAATAAACATTTTTTAAAAGATTTTATTTACTTATTTATTTATTTATTTATTTTGGAGAGATTTTTGCTATAGGGCGCATGTGCTCACCAGACAGACAGAGAGAGACAGAGAGATAGAAAGCGAGAAATCACCCCTCAGAGGGGATGGCCACGCTGCAATCCCTTTCCCTCCATTTTCCTCTTGGGATCTTGGGCACACATGCACACGGGCCCAGCGTGAGTTGAAGACACCAGGTCTGGGACTCGAACTGCGGTCGACTATGTGGGAGTCCAGCAATATAGCCATTACGCTAACAGCTGGTCCCAAAAGATTTATTTATTCATTCATTTCTTCCTTCATTTTAATTTGACCAGAGACACACAGAGAGAGAGAGGAAAGTGAGAAAGCAAGCCACCAGGTCCAGGACTCGAACCGTGGTCAGCCATGTGGGAGTGTCCAGCACCTTAACCACCTCACCACCTGCTGGTCCCTGAATAAACATTTTTTAAAAAAGGTTTTGAGGGGCTTGAACTTGACTGTGGTTTGAGTCCTGGACCTGGCAGCTTGCTTTCCTGCTTTCCCTTTCTCTCTCTCTGTTCTTCTCTGGTCAAATTAAAATAAATAAGTAAACTTAAATAAAATAATTCTTCTTAAAAAAACCTTTAAGCTTGGTTGTATCATTTCAAAGCCTGAGTACTTGTCACTCCAGTGAATGCCTCCACGCTAGATTTGGGATCCACTCGGGAATGTGGATCTGTATTCTGACATTGGTCCTGTGGCATCCTTGTTCTGCATCGTATTTCACAGTAGTATCACCTGGTTTCTCTCTCCTCTTGTATGAGTTCTCAGTGTCTCCAGCTCCAGTGCACAGACCCTTAATCAAATCATTTTAGGCTCCATCACCCCTCAGTCTGCACACTCAGCATCTCTGACCTCGCTTCCATTCTCACGGCACTCCAGTACTGGGCCCTTTGCTACTCCTCGAACAGGACAAGCGAGCTCCTGCCCCAGGACTTTGCACTGACCGGTTCCTCTGCCTGCCTGGGGTGTTCGCCAGCTGGTCACTCACCTTTGTGCCCCTCCAGCACAGCGAGCCCTGTCCAGGACAGCATCTTTGAGACTGCAATCTCTGCAGCCGTTCCGATCTCAGCCTCTGTCTTGCTTTCTCTCCCATCCGTCATCATTTAATATGTTTTTTATTTCCTTATTTATTTCTCGATTTCTCCCCCACAGGAATGTCAGCTTTATAGGTTTTTGGCATAGAGACTGTGCACTCACCAGAGACAGAAAGTGAGAGGGAAAGTGAGAAATCACCGCTATGAGAGATGGCCACACCTCAATCCCTTCTCCTCCATTCTCTCCGGATTTGGGGCACATACACCCATATACCCAGAGCGATTTTCAAGTTGGGTCTGGGAGTCAAATAGGAGTCAGCCACGGGGGAGTCCAGTGCCTTAACCACCAGGCCACCTGCTGGCCCCAACATATTTTTTAAGAGATTTTTTTTCTATGTTTGCCAGAGAGACAGAACAAGACAAAGAGAGAAAGTGAGAAATCAGCCCCCAGGGGAGATGGCCACACTGAAATTCTTTCTCCTCCATTCTCCTCTTGGGATTTTGGGCACACACACGCCCAACATGAGTTTCAAGCTGCCTGGTCTGAGACTCGAACCACAATCAGCCATGTGGGAGTTCAGGACCTTAACCACTATGCTACCTGATGGCTCCAATGTTTTTTTTTTGTGGGGGGAGATTTTTGCTATGGGGCACATGTGCTCGCCGGAGAGACAGAGAGAGACAGAAAGCAAGAAGTCACTCCTGAGGGGAATGGCCACACCACAGTCCCTTCTCCTCCACCCCTCTCTCAGGATCTTGGGCACACACACATGCTGGTGAGAGATTTAAGTCATTGGGTCTGGGACTTGAACAGCAGTCGACTATGTGGGAGTTCAGTGACATAACCATTATGCCATCTGCTGGTTCCAATATATATTTTTTAATTATTTTATTTAACTTTATTTAATTACTTATTGTAATTTGACCAGAGAGGGACAGAGGAAGAGAGAGAGGGAAAGTGAGAGAGCAAGTTACCAGGTCTGGGACTCGAACCATGGTTGGCCATGTGGGAGTCCAGTGCCCTTAACCACCATACCACCTGCCGGCCCTGCAGCGTTCTTTTTTAGGGGGAGAGATTTTTGCCATAAGGCGCATGAGCTCGCCGGAGAGACAGAGAGAGACAGAAGGTGAGAAATCATCTCCAGGGGGCATGGCCACGCTGCTGTCCCTTCTCCATTCTCCTTTTGGGATCTTGGGCACGCATGACCAGCATGAGTTTCAAGCTGCCGAGTCTGGGACTCAAACCACAGTCAGCCATGTGGGAGTCCTGCACCCTTCACCACCGCGCCACCTGTCGGCCCTCATTTTTATTAAAGCCCCTGTTCTGTGGCCGGCCCCGCTCCGCCCTGCTCTGGCCGCAGGGCGGGTGCTCACTTACACCCTTCTATCGCAGGCACCAGGAAGAAGAGAAGGAAACCCAAGTTGAGGAAGCCAGGACCCATCCTCTTGCTGGACCGGTCGACCTCCCCATGCCTGCCACCAGCACTCTTGCCACCTCCGCCGCTGCCACCCCCTGCCACCACCCTGGCATCCGTGGTGGCCTCGTCACCTCCCATCTACACTATGCCCAGGGTCTTTGGCCCCTTCTCTCCACTGCCCAGCAAGCCGGTCAGTAGGCGTCTCCCCCACGCAAGGCACCTCAGGGTGGGGTGGCCTCCAACTCCCCGACCGACCGGCCCCAGGTTCAGAAACGTCCACGGCTCCCCCAGGCCTACAGAGCGACTCAGCACAGTCCTCTTTGCTGACAAGGTCTAGAGTGGAAGGCCGGGGGCAAACGTGGCTAGCAGGGGCGGCTGGGGTTGCAGGGGTGGAGTGGGAGTTGAAGGCACAGAGCCTCACCTCCTTGGCCTCAGGTGAGCAGGGCAGCCTGAGGAGCGATGGGCAGAACCCCGAGGCTCCCAAAAGGACAAGTGGAAAACCACGATCCCGCCCGCCTCTCTCCCCTCACACCTGCTTCCTCCACCTGGGTGTTGTCCCCATGCTGCCCTCGCTTGCGAGGCCCTTCTGAACCACCAGGCCTCCAGAATGCCACACACCCTGCCCAGCTCCCTTCGCATGCCACCGCCTCTCCAGGCAGTCCCCCATCCTCCAGCCCGGGCTAGACCCCCCTCGGTCAGCTCCAGTCCCCATTCCGTGTTCCATCCCCTAACGCCATGCTCAGGGTGGGTGTGGAAGATGGGAGGATTCAGCAGGCTCTGCCGATTGAACGGAAGCCATGAAGCTGGTTCTTTTTTTTGAGAAGTTTTTGCCATAGGGCGCATGACAGACAAAAGACAGGGAGATAGAAAGCGAGAAAACATCCCCCAGGGGGGATGGCCACGCTGCAATCCCTTCTCCTCCATTCTCCTCTTGGGATCTTGGGCACGCACGCACACGCGCTTGGCATGAGGTTAAGCCACCGGGTCCAGGACGCGAACCGTGGTCGACTACATGAGAGTCCAGTGACATAGCCATGACGCTAACTGCTGGTCCCAAGTTCTGGTTCTTGTATAAGGCAAGGCCCATACCTTTGTCCTGAGAGTTCTTCTGTTTCCCGCAGATGGAGAACTCGGACATGTCAAGGTCTGAAGGGAAATTAAACTGGAGTGGCCTGTCATCAAACCCAAAGAGGTGAAAGGCATTCCTCTGGGCTGGAGGAAGTGAACGCATCGGCGCACCCCGCCTGCCAGGCTCTGGCCATTTCTCCCCGACCCCTTAGTTAATGTCACGGGGAGGAGGCGGGGCTCAGGGCTCTGCCCGGCGTGGTCTGCACATGTGGGCCGATGGCCGTCTCTGCGCTCTTTTGCAGCCACATGGTTGACCTGACCCCCTTGGTCCTCAATCCCGGAGGCTTCCATTTCTCCTACCTGACTGGAAGCGGTGCACACAAGCTCCACTGTCCTGGCCTCCCCTGGTAAGCCTGGCTCTGTGTCTCCGCGTTGGACGATGTCCTGGCTCTGGCCTGGCCCAGCCCAGGGTGCCTGGTGCTCCCATCTGGACTGGCATCTCCGTGGGGAGGTGTACACGGGGACTGAAAGCCTGCAGGACGATGTCCCTCCCACTTTCAGGAATGACCCTGAGGATGTCATCAGGGCTGTTTGGAGTCACACTCCTTGCCCCATGTTTGTAATGGTCAGAACAAGCCTGGGACCAGCAGTTGGCATAATGGCTACCTCGCTGGACTCCCACGTAGTCCCCCGCAGTTCGAGTCCTGGACCTGGTGGCTTAAACTCATGCCAGGTGTGTGTGTGTGCCCAAGATCCCGAGAGGAGAATGGAGGAGAAGGGATTGTGGCATGGCCATCCCCCCCTGGGTGGTGGTTTCTCACTTTCTGTCTCTCTGGCAAGTACACGTACCCTATAGCAAAAATCTATAAAAAATAAATTTAGGGAACCAGCAGTTAGCGTAATGGCTATGTTGCTGGACTCCCACGTAGTCGACCGTGGTTCGCCTCCCGGACCCGGTGGCTTAAAACTCATGCCGGGTGCGTGTGCGTGCGTGTCCAAGATCCCGAGAGGAGAATGGAGGAGAAGGGATTGCGGCGTGGCCATCCCCCCTGGGGA